AAGATAACAGGAAGTAAAAGTAGTAGTAATATCACAGAAGTAGTAAAAGAAAGTAGTGAACTCACTGACTACAATTTCCCAAAAACACAGCATATGTAGCCACTACCAAGTAGGGGCTTGTCACTGGAAAGCCTCGATAAAAGACACCGACATCTCCTCTGATGATGAGCACTAGTGTCATGGTAACAACATGCTATGTGTTTACATCCATTGCCACCATGTTTGTAATGACTTATCGCGAGAACAAGTGTTTTCACGCGTGACTTTAATAGCATTTCTTACTTAATGGAAACACTGCAGTTGCGAAACTGTGTTTTTCGACATTAACAGAATATCGGCAAAGTTTAACACACATTTGCAATGGAAACGCAGCTAGTAAGTAAAAATCTCTTTTTTATTTCACATTTAGTCAGTCGTACACGTAGTACTTTTTAGCGTTTAAAAGAGGATGTGTTAAAATGTTGATTCTATGCAGGAAATACCAGGTAGAGCTCAGTTGTTTGCGGTGCTTAGCCTTAGCAGTGAGACGAGGAACGTACAGATTCCTGTTAAGTCAAAGTTAAACATGAAATGTCAAAGTTAATGACAACTGACCCTTTGATGGACGCTCATGTGGCTCTTGATAAAACTGATAAAACTGGCTCCATCGGCATGAGATACTTTGACTGAAGGCTTGTCTTTTTTCCAGCGATAGGAAAAAAATGGTTCCATTTTTCTTTTAAATGTTTTCAGACACTACAGAGGARGTTTARTTTGAAAACTAGGGRYTCAAATGACTTCCTCTGGGTATTACTTTTAGTTTGACACCCCTACAAAAAAATTAAATATCAAAAGGCAGGGGCAAATTTGGTTAAAATTTGTTTGTGACAATCGGTGCACTTACAGCTATGAATAATTAGAGATCTGGTTCACAGGGTTTATATTGGGATTAAGTGAAATGATCAAAAACGCTCATGTTCGTGCAGTCAAATAATCGTCCCCTCTCATCTGAGATGTTAATGGATTTTATTCAATTRGTTATATTGAAAAGCTCCGCCCAGCTTACAGACAGATAGCTCTTCTATGATGGGTTAAATAATGATACTTTTTTCCCTTTATTTCATAATAAAATTATATAATACTAGTTAATTAACATATTTAGATAAGAAGCATCCTTCTGCATATTCCCATTCACRCATTCTTCATGTTTATCACTATGGTCTTTTTTTGGGTTAGTTCATTATTTAATTTTTAAGCCGAGAAAAAAAAACAAGAACATTTTCTTTGCTGATAACAGAAAATGGCAATTTAGCTATCTAGATCCGTCCTGCCCTYCAGCAGATCAAATAATCTTTACTCTGAATGTGCAAAATATTCTTGCCAGCATCTAAGCACGTTTGGGAAAATGGTTACTGAAGTGAGTGCACAGAAGCACTTAAGACAGATTCTCCCATATCTCTGGGCACAATGTCTTCTCGAAGCTAGGCCAAGCGTTCAATACGCAAGACCCAAATTTTTGCAGAGACATAGATTTGTTTGGCAGAAGTGCATTYAAAGAGGGGCCACATCCCGAGCGGAGATAAAGTCTCTTCACGAGATAGCATGCTGTTTTCTCCAGTGCATCATACTTTCCTTCCCACCCCCACCCCTCACCCCATTATTGCCCTTACTACTGGAATGGGTGTCCCTTTGTATTGATTGAAACCAAAATAAGTGGTTCAATCCTCGCGTGCCAACACAGAGGAATGGGACACAACTATCTGCAACATTTCCTAAGGGCCTGAATTTGATCTGGGCATGAAAGTTCTGAAACACAATGACCCACTCTGAAAGAAAATTCATTTATAGGAAGTTAGATGAAAAAAAAAAAAAAACCTTTTTTGCCTCTATGACTTAAAATTTCTGTGTATTAAAATAATCAAATAAATGCCAAATTGTTTTTACTAAAATTATATATATATATATAAAACATACATTATCTTTTTTATGAACACCCCAAAATTGATTCTTCTTTTTAAATAATACATTTCTTGCTATTGAAGTCAGAGGCAAGACATCAATGTACCATGTGGATTTGTCTGCATTACTTGCAAGTTAACTTTATAAAAGTAAAGCTAAAGCATAAAGAAAATAACACATTTTCACCTTTACAAGCTTTACATTCCGTTCAGTTCAATTTATATTTATGCACAATGGACCACGGACTATTCACAAGACACAAGGACAAACAAATGATAAATAAAAACTTTGAGGCGTTAGAAAMCTAATGAAAGAGCGCACGTTTTTGCCCCTCAGCCACAGAGACAATGGTCCAGACTCGAGCCCAGGCTTTATTGTTGCGATAATATTGACATGGCAGTAATAGCTGGAGCAATAAAACTTGGTGGAGGAGCGACCAAGCAAGACAAAAACTGCATGGAGGCCAGGGCCTTTCGTTCGCTGCAGCTTCAGTACGACCCACTTCAGTTCAACAACAAACACCACTCAGTTTGTCTCTGTACATTAACCTCAGACGCTTGACCACTGCAGGCTAATTCCCTCTGGACGTCCACGCTACAGTTAAACAAACACYTACACACACCAAACAAATTTAAACCTAATCTAGAACAATCTGCAAAACCCCCAGTAAACATTTCAAAGCAACTAAGCAATAGAACAAGCCTTAACTTACTGTACATTTTAATATAACATGTGCTCATCTTTGGGTTGCATTGTTTTGCAGTTGCAAAAAAGCAGCGGTGACTTCACCACGCAGATAAACACGGTCTATTTCCCATGTCAAATTCACTAACTAAAAAGGGGTTCGAGAGCATTTTCAGCTCTATTTATATTGGCAACATAAACAGCATGCAGAGACAGGACAAAACGCATGAATAACACCATTCAGAAGACTCATAATTCGTTTTAAAAAGCACCGTTTTCAGAGAGAGAGAGAAAAAGATGATTCATTTTTGCCAGCACATGGCTGGGTTTTATTTCCAAAAAAGAAAAATATAAATAAAATAAAATAAATTATGAACACATCACAGGGATTAAATATTTGAGGGGATGATAAAAAAGACAACCTTTTTTTTCTCTCTATTTCATCATCTTGCCAATCACTTTGAATAGAAAAGGTGCAGCCACTGTTGGGAGAAGCTGAAATGCTTTTATCAAGCTGTAACATACTAAAAACGCAGCCAAAAAATGAAAGAAAATAAATGAATAAAAATGAAAAGAACGCAGTGTGTCGATACCAAGAGCACAGGCGCTGTGCAAGGTTTTAGGCAACAACAAACAACAACAACAACAACAACAACAACAACAACAACAACTTAAATGCAAAATGTTAATTTGTATTTTAATACAATTATTTCTTTAGATATTTAAATCCAACTACTTCAACATATGTGATGGACTTGGACAGTTGGATGTGGGCACCAGCGACCCCTGTGGCCCAGATAGGTACACTGCAAAAAATGTCCACCTAACCAAGTTTTAAAATCTTATATCCAGCCAAAAAGTATTTTTGATCTTATTTTGAGACGGATTTACTAAACAAGAACTGATTGTGTAAGAATAATAATCTTGTTTTCAGAATGTGTAAGATTATTTGTCTTGTTAGTCTGAAAATTTGACTCAAATTAAGTCAAAATATCTGCCAATGGAGTAAGAAAATTTTACTTGGTAAGACTTCTTGAAATACTTGATTTGACTCAATTTTTTATTATTTCAAGAATCTTACAAAGTAAAATTTTCTTACTCCACTGGCAGATATTTTGACTTGAGTCCAATTTTCAGGCTGACAAGACAAATAATCTTACACATTCTGAAAACAAGATGATTATTCTTACACAATCTGTTCTTGTTTAGTAAATCAGTCTCAAAACAAGATCAAAAATACTTTTTGGCTGGATAGATGYTTTTAAAACTTGGTTATATGGACAGTTTTTGCAGTGTAGAAATGGGCAAAGATCACAGGAGGTTAAAAAAAACCTGTTTTCTATTCCTTTAAAACTCAAGACAGGTTCACAACGAGGTCACCAACAAAAATATCCACTGAGCGCACCCCTATTCTTTTCTGATGCAAACAGTTGGAGGAATAAAAAAAGTAGAGGAAGGSTTTAAAGCTCACTTATCGCAGACACAAGAATTCTTTTAGTGCTCTCATTGGACGGAGATGTGTTCAGGGTGTAAGTCTGTAAATGCTTTCTGTTGATAACAAAAGACAGGATCTTATCAAACTGGTAGAAATGACACAGAATGCATTAACATTTGAGGGGCTTTCTCCTCTGCTTTGGTGACATTACCAGAGTGTCCACTTTGCTCCTTCTTTTTTTATTTAATGCAGTTTAGCTCTCTGCCCATTCACCCCTTACTGTGTGAAGTGCTGCAGAAGAAATTAATGACCAAACAAAGCCGCCCTTTTGCACAGTTTGCATAAGTGAGAATGCCTTTTTTTTATCAGATAAAACAGATATTACCCTAAAAGCTTTATAATGAGCATTTGGTCRGTCAAGTGGAAGGCCTAGTTCATCTATGAGTGAGATTAATATCACCTGAAGCAATTATTACAGGATGTGGATCAGAAAGTTTGGATGTATGTGTTGCAATTGCACCAGCATTAAATAATAATAATAAAAGAAAGAAATAATTTGAACAAAATTACAAAAATACAATAAATGAATGTTTTTGTCAACATAATTAAATTGTCTGCATGTTTCATTGCTTGTTGTTCATTTAGTAAAACATGAGCGAGCATGTTGCTCCCTCTAGTGGCACGTCTCACAAATGAGTTTAACCGTTCCCGTGGGTTCCGMTTTTTGCTTTGCAGAGTCGCATCAGCTTCCAGCTCCACAAATGAAGACAATGTCTTTAAAACAAAACCATTAAAAAACTTTGTTTTAAATCTTCTTCATGTGAAACTAACATGGCAGAACTTCAAAAGTGGTTTGACTCGGCTGTCGTGCAGAGTTCAGGATATGTGAAAGCAACAAAAAAGTACTTTGACAGCTGAGAATTAAAAAAAAGATGAGTCCTACCGTCATTGCACAAAGGTCCTCCAAATGTCGTCATGCTGCAGTCGCAGCTGAAGCCCTCCCACTGCTGAAGACACACGCCCTGGTTGGCACACGAGTCCTCTTGGCACGTGGTGCTGGGGCCTGAATAAAACGYGAAATCCCAGTTGTGTTAATACAACGCCAGCAGCAACGTCAGGTTCACGTCAAAGTGCAAAAACGTGTTACGTTGAACGTTCACACACATCATTATTTCTTTTTTCAAACGAGAATGTACACAGAACAAACATACAGAGCGAGCTGTAAGGTAACGTCTTGTGTTRATTCTGACAGATTCTGGTTTAAATGTCATTTGTTACAAAGCACCTGCCTGAAGTCTCAGTTTATTAAGATTTATTCATTAAATGTAGAAAAAAAAACACTCATGTATAAAAACAGCCTAAAGAAAACATTTAAATAAAATCATGCAATTTTAATGTTTGAACTGGACAGGCACTGAATATTTACATATTTAAAGTTACATTTTCATGTTCAAGAGAATTACATTATGTTACATTACAACTGCATGAAATACAAATTATAGTAAGTAGTAGAGTTTATTTTTTTCAATCTACAGTATATATTACTGAATACTGTGTTCCTATAGAGTACATTAGACAATAAAATTCCCATTTTATTATTATTCTTTTTTTATTATTCTTTTTTAGCTGAGTTTACATGTTTAAACATGCATGCAGGTTAATTGGCCCTAGGTGTGAGTGAAGGCGGATGTTTGTCTCTTCGTGGCCCTGTGATGGACTTGCTCTCCAGGATGAATCCTTCTGACCCAAAATGAAGAAATGGGTAAAAACAAAAATAATAATAAATGATAGATGGATGTTTCTTCTGTTTTTGTGTGAGTTGGTGTTATATTATAGTTAGTAGAAGTTGCCAGAATGGTAGACAACATACAGTTGAACCATGAGTGAATTTATGGGCTTTGTAAAATATATTAAAAAGGGATCCTCAGAGAACACAGTGTCTCAGGATGAATGGGATTTATTGACCTCTGAACCTGTCTGGCAGTGAAATTATTGTTTAAAAGTCATAAATGTGTTATACCATTATATAT